AAAAAAAAATAAAGTCAATTGATATTTTTTGGATAAGGTTTGACTTTTTCTATTCTGCCTTTTCTTATCCTTAAATACTTTGCTGCAATCTCCCTGTGGAACGCTGTATTCTCCAACTTTTTAAGAGCTTGCTACCTAAACTTAATTAGGAAGAATTCCACTGCTGGATGTGATTTAAGAGTAGCGTTTCGGGCTATTTAGGTAGTGTAGAGTGCTTGCATGTTTCTACTGATGTTTTTGCAGCTTTCCATTGAAAAAAAAATAACGAGATTGTTAGATTACCTCACAGGTCTTTGCATGTTGCTCATTGTCATCATGGGGTCCTTATTCGAAGTTCAGGAAAACATAAGTTAGATCAGTCATGAATATGACTTCACTATAACTTCAGGTGGAAATTGGAGCAGTTAACACACTCATAGTCATGCCACGCCCACTGGAGATGACGGGCAAGAACGAATTTCCTTTATACGACGTGCTATCGCCATGTCTGACTACGTGGTTGCATATGTCAGAAAAGCTTTCTGAGAGCATCAATGATGTAAGAAGTAAAAGAAATTGGAAACTATGATCAAACAGAATTCAACTGCAGTTCTCTCTGAACTGGAGTGCAACTGTGGACATGACGTTTGCCCAAGTTTTGAAGATGGCTTTGGATTGCACCGATGATCGCATTTTCAACGCCGCCATCAGCAAGAGTGTGATGCTAAAGGTGAAAGAATTGGGGGCCAACCTAGCTGGTTGTCCATCGTGCTTGCTGCTACATACGGTACTTCGGTGAGAGGTCTTTATCTCCACTCACAATTTTTTCTAAAGAATTGTTTAGATGGTGCGCCCTACCATCTTCCGTGGAGAAGCTATCTACAACTCCTGTTACAGCGGGAACTCATCCGCAATTCTTAGATAAAACTAGTAGGAAGACAGCGTTAATGGCCTTACTAAGTCATTGGCATACAGATATTTGTCAGCAAGTTAAGGTATGCTCTACATTTTATATATTTGATGTTTTGAAAAGAATTGCAATTCCATAAACTTTAGCTTGTTTCGAATGCTGAAGCTCGCAAATATAGGGCTGACCCAGGTAGTATCGCTCGCGAAGTACGTATACCTATGGAAGATCTTGAAAACAAGCCAGAAATTAAGCACCGTAGAAACGCAAGTACGGCTAGTAGGGTGAGTACAAAAGTATTGTTCAGAGATCGCACTTGGATGTTTTGTTAAGATTTACTGGCTAACACTGTTCTTTTTTGAATCAAAGACATCTTCTACTATAATCCATTTATCTATTGCTGTGATTTTGCAGAATCTTACTGCTAATGGTGGAATGACAAATCAAAAAAGGCCGTCAGCACAAGAAAAAGGTTGGATTTTCTACCGTCTGCTTCGCTTCTGCTAACTATTATTCTCTAGTTGATTTGTACCATTGGCTCCTGTCTGTCCATCGTGAAAGGAAGGAACGTAAAACAGCCGATCTGGATAACAAAGATTATATCAATCCAATGGACATCATGCCACAAGCGTTTTTCTACAGCTTTTATCATGTGAGTAGTTTCTGACATATATTTTTGTAGCATGAACTACAATCTATGAAATCAGAGTCGCCGTCTGGATTGGACACAACTTGATGGATTACCTTTGAATCAGCTAGCGCTCGTTTATACTGTCACCGTTAATAACATTATCACGGCTATGGTAGAACAGCGGTTAGTAGAAAACTTGCATACTAGTTGTAACCATCACAAGTTAGTTTCAGCGTAGTTTCATCGGCTGCTGACGAGTCAAGAAAATTTATCACTCCACACTTACATCAGCTAATGCATATTAAAAAAGTAGCCGTAGATGGGAAGTTGTCGTGGCGAATCGAGATGGACGAGAAAGGATTGTTGCCCGTGAGGGGATGGGTAAGAACCGCTTTACTGCGGATTTGAAAAAGTTATAATAAGTAACAAGCGGCAGCTGTGCGATTGTATCGTAAGCTAAGATAAACATAAGTGAGTAGTTGATTCTAAAAACAGGGCTTTGAATTAAGATTGCTTCACCTTGTGATGAATTTGTTTATATATATTTCTTGAACATGATCAGTGTTAAACGTGGTAGATGGCGAAGATGGAATTTGCAAAGCTACATTTCAATAAAAGCGTGATATTATCGCTGACTAATTGTCATTGGCAGCTAGGACAACGCGACAGTTCTCCGTACATCACTGTAAACATGCTCGTGAATTCCTCTTTATTACGGGACATTCTTCAGTAAAGATGTCCAGATTACTTACGTACTATGGAGAACTAACAAAATGCGCAAAAATCAATGGTTATGTTTCTTTTGAAGTAGTTTTGAAAATTAGGAAGATTAGAAAATTTTTTCCCCTTATTTGTTCGCGGGGCGATTGAATTGTCAGAAAAACGGCAAATAAGAAACTCATGTTTGCTACAATACTGACGGCGATGTGCCTCCATGAAACTGTTCTCGAGACTACTTTATTGAGGTAGGTGCTACTTCACGACATGCGTCGATTTTGTTCCACTTATTTTCTCGTATAGTGAAGCAAGCATGTTACGGGAGCAAATCAGAATTAACTTTTTTTTTTAAA